GCTTATGTGAACGAATAATGTCCACCAACAGCTAAGTTCTGTACATTTTCAGGAGTGCATTGTATATTAATTGAACAAATATGTTGTGAGCATCTATCATGAGCTAGGCACAGTGTCAAATGACAGAGGCATGGTAGGACAGGAGAGAGAGTTCCTGAACAGAGGTAGCCTTTTAACAAGTTGGATGTGCACACTACAGCATAATGGCTAAAGAGAGAGAGGATTCCTCATCAGTCCTTCAATGGCAAAACCAAAGAGAAAGCTATCACATGCACACCAGCTCAAAAAGGGCGATTGCGCATTGCTGCAGTCATCCCATCCTAGGATGGCAGATGATGGGGCCAAGACTGTGTCAGCCTCTGCACTCCGGGTTGGCCATTTGAATCAGCCTGGTTGGCCTCTGCCTTCACTTCCTCACTAGCTGCCCCATCCTGTGCAAGTCCCTACTGGAATTCAGCTTTCTCACCAGGGAGATGGGGGCTGGACTCCTAAATAAGTGTTTGTCATACTATTTTTTAACCTCAGCACATTTGATTCTAGTGAAATATAAAATGAAAATGAAAACAAAGGAAGCCAATAAAGGAGAGACACTGATTAGGTGTGGAGGTGAGGTGCCAAGAGCAGCATTTGGAAACCGCCACTAGGACATCCCTGTGGTGTCTTTCATAGGACTCTGTGGTTGGAGGAGGGTCCGGGTGAGGGGGTGAGGGGACGGGCAATTGGAGATGGGGCCATAGAGTCATGACTTCTCGTCAGCAGCAGAGCAGAACCCAGCTACCAGGTCTGAGAACCGTCCCCAACTTGCCGGCACAGGAATTCAACCCAGGGCATAACACCTTGTTCATTTTTTCATCCTTTTCTTTTCACAGACCCAATGGCGGTGGCCTTCAGTTTTGCTTTGGAGGTAGTGCCGTTGGTACTGGCAGCTGTGTTTGAAGGAGCGGTGTCTTATGCACATGACCATCCATGCTGGGACCTTCTGTCCAGCTCCAAATCTTTCCACACATGGGTCATAGACCTGACAAGGAGGAACCACTTCCCCAGTGTCCCTGGCACCACTCTGACCCCTGACCCCTGACCCCAGTTTCCCAGGTCCCGGCACTCAAATATAGTAGCCTTCTGCCCTCCCTACCCCACCTCCTAGCTCTCTGCTCTCCTGACTCCTCAGCCCGCATGTCTTCCCAGTTGGGTGCACACTGGCCCCTGGCCACTTCCCCCACCCCTGATGACCACTTGCGAACTGGTAAAGACATGCGATGCCTCCTTTCTTCACCAAATCACGAGGCTTGTGCAGAAGTACCTTTGCAGCATGGATGAGGGTAGGAAGATCCTGGCCAGGGCCTTCTATGCCCAGGTGAGAGCTGGGGAGAGCCCAGCAGCTGCAGCCATCCCCTTGCTGTAGCTGAGGCACTGCCTGTTTAACGGGATGTTAACTTACTTGTCCCAGGAAGGAGAAAAAAAGAGAATCAGGTCATCTCAAATGGATTCCCTTCCCTGGCACGTCAGCGGACTGTTCAAGGAGGCCAGGAAAGCTGGGAAGGGGTTAGCAGTTCTAGTGCCCCCAGAATAATGCACAGACCCCAGAATCGGGCTCCAAATTCGAGGCTTACCGGCAGTACCCCCAAGCCCGTCCCCATAGCCTCCTCCCCATGTGACCAGATCTGCCACTGCCCTCAGCTGGGTGCAGTCCTTGCCTGAGCAGTGGCTGAGGGAGGGCTGGAGGGGAGCACAGGGTCCCCACGACCTTTCCTCCGTCTGTAACCATGGTGTGCTGCCCCTCAGCTCTCTGGCACCATCGTGGCGCAGACCCTGAGGCATGACTCTCGGGGCACTCTAACTCAGAGGATCAAGGATCCCAACCTCATCATGGAGGAAACTGGCCTTCGGGGAACCAGTAACCTGGCCCTGCACCCAGAATATGTAAGAGTGGGGGAGGGCCAGTGGGATCCCCTGGGAGTCCCTGAAGCATTTGCTTTTCCTCCTCGGGTCCCTCAGTTGCCCCAGGGTTAGTGCATCCCCCACCCCTCATCCGAGGAC